GCGCTGAGAAAGGGATTGTGCATCAATTCAGCTCTGTTCGAACACCTCAACTAAACGGGGTTGCCGAACATCGGAATCGAACTGTAAAAGATGCCGCAAGGACGATGCTCTGTGATTCCAAGCTTCCTATATTCTTCTAGGCAGAGGCGATTCACACTGCTTGTTATGTTCAAAATCGTGTGCTAATCAACAAAGCCAGGATGAAGACACCGTATGAGATTCTATTTGGACACAAGCCATCTGTCAGTCATTTCAGAGTTTTTGGCTGCCCTTGCACTCTTCTCCACTTGGAATCCAATCCCAAATTCAATGCCAAAGCCGATGACTGTTATTTTGTTGGATATGCTGCTCGAACTGCGTACAAGATTTACAATAAGAAGACTAAACATATTGTAGAATCATTTGATGTTCGTTGGCTTGAGGAAAATGAGACAGATGCTAGAGTGGGTCCTGACTGGTTGTTTGACTACTCATCTCTTTTCAAATCATTCAATGTGTCTTCAGATAATCAAGAAGGATATACTTCCAATTCGAAGATTCCTAGTGATGACGAAGAAGATGAAGTCGTTTATCGACCTCCATTGATTTCTACTAATCCTCCCTCGATACCTCCTACTCTTTTTGAATCTTCTGAATCTCCTCAACAACCTTCTCCTGATGCCATTGCTACTCCCTTAACTCCAATAGAAAAAGTGTTCATGAATCATGAGATTTCCGCTGTAACTTCAACTTTGATGGAACTTTTTCTTCCAGAAAATATTGTAGAAGAGTTTGTTGCGGATTCTTCTAACGAATCTTGTTCATCCTCTACAGACCAAACAACAAATGATGGAGCGGTTAACATTCATAATCTTCCTGTTTCGGTCAATGATATTAGTTATCAGATCCCTTCACGCATTCAGCGAGATCATCCAATAGATAACGTCATTGGTCAGCTGGGCGACGGGGTTCAAACGAGAAGTAAAAGTGGGGATGTAAATACATGTCTTTACTCTTGCTTCATATCTCGAATAGAACCTAAATCAGTTGAAATGGCTCTGAATGAGCCCAGCTGGGTTGAAGCCATGCATGATGAATTAAATCAATTTGAGAAACTCGAAGTCTGGAAATTGGTGGAACTACCAAAAGGAAAGAAATCTCTGGATACTCATTGGGTATTTCGAAATAAACAAGACGATTCAGGTGTCATTGTGCGCAACAAGGCAAGATTGGTGGTTCGAGGGTTTCGACAGGTTGAGGGTCTTGACTATACAGAAGTTTATGCTCCGGTTTCTCGTTTGTTATTTCATCTCTTCCAAACCATGTTTACAAGTTAGACAAAGCTTTGTATGGATTGCATCAAGCTCCCCGAGCTTGGTATGCTACTCTTACTCAGCATTTGCTCAATCACGGCTATTCCCGAGGCACCATTGATCAAACCTTATTTCTCAAGCATGTTGGTCCAGATCAAATTCTCGTTCAAATTTATGTGGATGACATCATTTTTGGGTCGACAAGCCAGCAACTTTGCAAGGAGTTTGAAGCGGTGATGAAGAAGCATTTTGAGATGAGTTCTCTTGGGGAAATGACCACGTTTTTGGGGCTTCAGGTCCAATAATCTTCAACCGGAATCCTTATTCATCAGGAAAAATATGTGGCAGATGTACTGGAGAAGTTCGGGTTTCAAGACGCAAAACCTGCTCTTACGCCCATTGCGGAACGACCTCTTCTGACTCCTGATCTTGAGGGTGAATCCGTAGATCAAACTCATTATCGATCAATGATCGGATCACTCATGTATCTTACTGCTAGTCACCCAGACGTCATGTTTGCAGTCTGTCAATGTGCTCGCTACCAGGCTAATCCTAAACTCTCTCATTTAATTGTTGTTAAAAGGATTTTTCGGTATCTCAAAGGGTGCCCAAAACTGGGTCTTTGGTATCCGAAATTTCCCGAATTTGATCTCTATGCTTTACAGACAACAATTATGGCGGGTGTGAGCTTGATAGAAAATCGACTTTAGGAGGATGCCAATTTATGGGAGATAGATTGGTGTCATTGCAGTGCAAGAAGCAGCACACAGTCTCAAGCTCAACAACAGAAGCAGAATATGTTGCTGCATCTGCTTGTTGTTCTCAAGTCATCTGGATCCAACATCAATTGTTGGACTACGGTTTGAATTTTCAAGAAACCCCTATTTTTTGTGACAATGACGTTGCGATTCAAATTGCCAAAAACCCGGTCTTGCACTCAAAAACCAAGCACATCGACATTAAAATACATTTTATTCGAGAATGTTATGAATGTTTGGTTATTCGGCTAGAACAGGTCTGCTCTGATAATAATGTAGCAGATCAGTTCACCAAGCGTTTTAACAATGCTCGATTCGATGTGCTGGTTAATTTTCAAAAAATGATTCGTTTTGAGGATTAATTTTTAAACAAATTTGGGCGTTTCATTTCTTTTATGCACAAATTTAGGGGGAGAAAAACCAAAAATGTTAAAAAAAAAAAAATGAGAAAAACCAAAAACATTAGAAAACTAGAAAATCCATAAAAATTAGAAAATCAGAAAATAAAAATTTATTATGCTTGAGGGAGATGTTATTGGGAAGTGATATGATAAACTGATAACAGGCAACCCGAGTCTGCGTAACATACCCGAAGTTGAAGGGTCTATGCTCTGGTTTGATGTGTCGGTAGGCACGAAAGATTCTAAATGGACATGACTAGGCATAATTGAACTTAGGAAATCAAATGACTTGACAAATCTTGACCTAGATAGTTCCATTTAGACTGACAATACGTCGCTTGGATAGGTTGAGCAGGGAGATATATATGGGAATCTACTCGTCACATTAATTGAACCCGTACTTGGAACCGTGGTTTAACTATTTCTCGATGTGCGGATTCCGTCCTTAATTCCGGTCAGATGGGGCGACTGGTAAACTCCGATAAACTAGGTCTGTAGAATATCATTTTCTTTCTTTCTCTCTGTTAGTCATATGTTGTCTCCTTTGCGCGATTTCTAATCCGACCTGGTACACAACATATGCAATTCTGTTTCTCTGCAAGCTATATATATAAATGTGTGAAATACATCTTATCTGTTAGCCATATGATGTGTCCTTTGCGCGACTTCTAATCCGACCTGCTACACAGCATATGCAACCTTCTTATTCTCAACCCTTCTGAAGAATTTTGTATCTCTTCTCTCTCTGAATGGTTGTCTGCTAACCCGGTGTAAGGAGTTCTCTGCAAGTTCTTGATGGCTGGGGCATATCAGGAAGCGGGAAACACGTTCTAGTACACTTAAAACTGAACACTCAGAGATTGTCTATAGATCTCGCTGCTCAATTTAGGTGGACAACAATATCCCTGGTCGTCGTCAGCTAAATGGTCCTTCAGATATAATATCTAGGAACTCAGGATCACTTTGTCTTGTCATTTGCAATACGTCCTATTTTTGTCACAATTTTTCGTGCTTAAGTGGACAACAATACCGACAATCCATCAGACAAAGATGTGAATATGAAAGGTACCGACAAGCAGATAACGGTCGTCTAAATTGATTCTTGTCGATTAATAAATTTTTTAAAAATTTTATTTTATTTTATTTTATTTTTATTTGTATTTTTTATTTTTTATTTTATTTTTATTATTAAACCGTTGAAATTAAAAAAAAAAATTATTATTAATCCTCAAATTTTTTTTTTTTAAGAAAATTGTGTGCAAAAAGGGGTTTTGGAATAAATGTTTAAGAGACAAGGGGGAGAATGTGTAAATTCTGTGAATATATATAGTGTGTGTGCGGTGAGGCTTTTTCACCGTCATTTACTGTTGCCTCAACCGCACACACATACTTTCTCTCTCAATTTCTTTGGAAATTTCCTTCAAGTTTCAGTAAAAACAAGGTCGAACTCGGTAATTCTTATGTGAGCGGTTGAATTTTTCATCATTTTTAAAAAAATTTATCCATGGTTAGCTATTTGATTTTAATAAAGATGTTTATGCAGCCACACACATGCGTGTGCGGCTGACCGTGTGCGGCCGCACACATGAGTGTGCGACTGACCGTGTGCTGCCACACAAGCGTGTGCGGCTGACCATGTGCTGCCACACAAGCGTGTGTGACTGACCGTGTGCGGTTACATGATTTTATGAATGTGCAACTGAACAATTTCTTGTTGCCCTAATTTTTCATGTGTTGACTTTCAGATTAAAATGGGAGACCAGGAATTTGCTAAAGCTCACAACTCTGCAATTTTTCTTGAAGACCCTCCTGCAACCCACATAGACATGAAATTCATTATGGATGGATTGAGGAAATCATGTTTAGTTCATGCCTTAACAACTAGTCCTGCTATCTACCAGAGTTTGGTCAAAGAATTTTGTAGAAATGTTGTTGTAAAGAAAAATGGTCAGGGTGACAAATTTGTTGAAGCAACAATTGAAGAAAAGAAAATTCAAGTAACGGAGAGCATCATAAGAGAATCCCTTCAAATATCAGACAAACCTAAGAATACCATGGAGATCGATATTCATCAGACTCAGGATGTCTTGGAGCATATGGGTTATGAGGGAACATTTCCCCCTACAATCAAGAAGTTGCTTCCTCCGTGTTGGAAGTATTTGGCTAATGTGTTCGTGAGCTGTATTTCTGGTAGGAGATTTGGAGCTAATGAGATTTCTCTTGCTAACACTGGTGCCATTGCAGCATTGGCTGCAGGTTTTGAGTTTAATTTCTCAAAATTCATTCTGAATGAAATGGTCCTGAATCTTGAAGGGAACAAAAGAGATAAATTCTGGATGTATCCAAGATTTCTGCAAATCATCCTCAACTTGAATCACGCTGAGCTGCAGAGAGGAAATGATGTCTTAGATTTTAAATCCATTGGTCCAAGTGCTTTTAGGCTAATGAAACAGAAGAGAGGTGGGAAATTTGTTTTTGAAGGAAAATTTCCATTGATAAAATTTGGAATCTTTAAAGAAGATGATATAGACGAATCGGAAGAGTAATCAATGCCAATGGAAAATGAAGATATTCATCACTCTCCCTCCGAGCCTGAAGTGGAGGAGATTCATCATTCTCCCAGAGCATGTGTAGCTGATGAACATGATTATCAGAAAACAAATGATTCAAAGTCTTCTCGAGGTGATGATGACGATGATATTTATGATGGCATACAGTTTTTGAATGAATTCGACTTTACTGGAATTAACGATGATGTTCCAACCAACATAGAGTTTGATCTCAATGATGAAGACTTTAATCTTTTCTCGATATCACCAGCAGCCGTGCAAATAAAGTCAATGCAGTTGTTTCTCTACCAACCAAGACTAGAGTTGAAGAAGATTCTCTCAAAATTCTATTCTCCACCTCAAAGCCCTTGGAGGTCACAACAAGCCAAGGGGATGTGACATCAGAGATTCCTCCCTCTGTGTCATCTGTCTCAACATCAGCTCTAATCATTTCCGACTTATCTGAACCTCAGACTTCTCAGACTTCCTTAAAGAACAAGCCAATCTCTTGAAAGTCTAGATATTCCCGCTGTAAAAAGTGCTACTCAAGTTACCTCAACAATCACTGCAACCTTTGCTCACTCTCCTCCAAGGCAGTCTAATGAAGGTCCAAGCACAATGTTCGAGACTGGTGGAACGTCTTATGTTCCAGAATATTCTCCAACTCGACCTTCTCTAGATGAAGCTTCTATCAGACTAGTAAGACATTTGGCTCAATCAAGTCCAACCTCTTCACACGGGAAAGGAATATCATTTAATGAGGGTCGGACAGATGATGACAAATTCTCCTCATCTGATCTTCGAGAGGAAGTTAGAGTTCTCTGCCAACAGCTCATTGTAAAATCAATTCAAATGGATCAACTTTCTGCATATGTCTTGGAGCTCAGGGCAAAGGAAGAAGAAAATACCAAACAAATCAAGGATTTACAAACAAGTCTTGGATCCGTTCTAACCAGTTATCTTAATCTCAAGAACGTATTATATGATGCTTTTAGTGAAAAAGTTAAAGCTCTCTTACAACAGCCTCATGGAGTAGATGATCCTCCTTTACCTCAATCACCTCATGCAACTAATGATCTTCATGTTGACCCACCTGCTCCAAGAACAACTACCATTGTAGAAAGATTTGAAAAAGAACCAGAAGGAAGCAGAGCTAGAATCACAATTAAACAGGGCAAAAGAGTTGTGATTGCAAACCAACGCGAGGGACTTCTGTTTATGAAAAATACAAATGAAGATCGCAATGCAAAAGAACCTGCCCTGACTGTAACAGTTTGAAAAGAGAAAGTTTGGCGATAAGTATGGTGACAGATTTGGTATCTGTAAGTGGGCTTTCGATCCAGAAACAAATTTGTGGGTGGTGAAGCGAAATTCAGGAACTTCTGAATGTTACAAAAGCACCCATGATTTCAATTCTTGGACTAAGACTGATCTAACAGAATTATCTAGAGTTCCCTTTCACAATCCCTCGCAAGATCCAAGTGCATCAAATTTTAAAAGGTTCCTTGATAGGCAGGTCAAAGAAAATTTTCCCAGCATGAAGACTGCCAAAGCCGTTTATTAAAAGGATAAGGATGTTATCGACCCAGAAACAGGCAAATCTATGAAGATTATATTATGGCCTGCTACAAAGAAGCAAAAAGAAATTCCAATCCCTCAACATTTCCAGGAGGGATATCTTGACAATATGGAATTTTAGGCATACGATGACGAAACTACATCTGTTGCCATCAAATTTAAGGATCAAGAATGTGTTTTGAGGCTGATCAATGCAAAAGATCTTCTTCGTTTTCGAGAAAGGGACATACGGACTCTGGCTCGTCACCAGATAATATGCAGAAAAGAAGTAATGGAAGCTGCCGCTAAAGAATACTTTGCAATGGTTGCTACAATCATAAATGGAAGGTTGTGGATGGATTCAATGGGGAGATCAGATCTGAAGCTATTTGAGAAGCCTGCTGAGGAGCCAAAGGAATGATGACAAGACTATGCTAGTCTCAAACCGAGGGGGAGACTGAAAGAACATAATTTGTGGTTTGAGCTAGGCATCATTTTGTATAGTTAATTGAGTCATTTTGCAGTGTTTTGTTTATAGTCATGTAATGTGTGCTGCCACACATGTGTATGCGGCCGCACACTGTGTGTGCTGGTAGGAGGAGTACTATAAATAGCAACTGAGGTGTGTCAGTCTGTACTTTTTGGCTAGAAGTCGGTGGCGTATGTTTTGTGTTTTTCCCAAGGTGTACCTGACATTTATATGATATAAATGTGTGCATGCTTGATTCAATTTCTTTTTCTTCTCAATCTAAATCTAATAGCAATTAACTTCATTGATTACTAAATTGGATCCTTAATTTTGGGGACTTACACATATCGAGAGTATCGCCTTCCTTTATCATATCCGGAAATTTAGCATTGATAAATAGTTGAATGAACTTGAGATACAATAAGAAACTATCTCGGGTTGAGGCTCTCATGTTCACAACAAACTCATCCAAGATAAATCTTGAAAAGTTGAACTTTATTCCTGCAGCGAAAGAAACAATTGCTCCAGTATTCCTCATAGAAATTTCATCAGCTCCTGATCTTCTTCCTTAAATGCAACTAACAAACAAATGCGCCAAAATCTCCAATACGGAGGTAAGAGCTTCTTTAAAGTTGGACGTGAAATGCCTTCATATCCCATCCTCCTTCGAATTCTCTGAGCGTCTCTAATCCCAATCCCTATGGGAAAGTTAGGTTGATCGTCAATCAACAACGTATCTCTAATAAACCCCTCAGTGATCACTATCTCGCGTCCTTTTACAGTAGCTTTAATAACAACAACTCCAACATCATCAATTTCCATTTTAACGGTTGCCCAGAACTCTCTGATTAAATTATGGTAAACAACAGGGTTTACAGTGATAGCAGATGCCAAACATCATTCCCTAAGTCTGTGGATCTTCAACTTGAGGTCCAAATGAACACCTGGAGGATCCGCAAAGACAATAGTCAGGATGTGCATGTCCGCAAATTTAAGGTTCGCTATTGCCCTACACTAACCATACCAAGTAAGACAGGATAAACCAAACGAACAAAAAAAGTTTTAATTTAATTTTTGATCCCAATAATAAAAAAATAACAAATTTAAAATTAGGTTAATATCAAATTTTAAGTCAAAATTGGAGTTTGCGGTCAACAATGGAGGTTGCGGTCAACACTGGAGTTTGCAGTCAACATTGGGGTTTGCGGTCAACGAATATTGTTTACGGCCAACACATGGATTTGCGGTTAACAGGGATTTACGGTCGTAAATCCTTGCCAGTGAACTACCGACCATCGATGGAGTTTGCGGTCGCAAGCATCTTACGGCCATAAGCTTGGGCCGCAAACCCGATAACCTTTCTTTTTCGATTACTGCCTCAAAAACGCGATTAATCACACAATAAGATACATATTCCTGGTCTAAAACTCATTACCTTCGAGATTATCGAATTAGTTTGACACGATTTGAATTTTTTTTTCTTCGAAGAGAGAGAGAGAGGAGGGGTGTTTGTGGCCGGAATCAGAGATCTGACGGAGATTCCGACGGTAAACTCTCATTTATACCCATTTTGCATTTACCTGATAGCCACACAGTATAAGGTAGGGTCCAACATAATCCAAAAATTTAAAAAGATTAAAAATAATTCTTCTTGAGGATTAATATTAAAACTAAAATTAAAAATAAAATAAAATAAAATTAACTTTAGAAAATTTAAAAATTAAAATTAGCTTATAAATTCTTTAACAGATAATGAAATGAAAATAAAAAATACAAAATAAAAATAAAAATAAAAATAAAAGTAAAAGTAAAATTAAAATAAAATAATTTAACTCCAACTAAAATGCACATCTTAAACTTCAATTACTGAGAATGTATTTGTGACCCTGGGATCAAAGTTGTTGGAGAACCTTATTCCACTTGTCGGTACCCTTATCTTCACATCTTCGTCTGATCGACCGCCAGTATTCTGGTCCACTTAAACACGAAAAATTTATGACAATTTTAGGATAATTTACCAATGACATGATACATATACATATAAATGATTATAATTCTTCATTATCATGATTGGCCCTAATTCTTAAATCAAATTGTCTTATGACCATTTAACTGACTACAACTACGGATATTGTTGTCCACCTAAATTGACCAGCGAGATCTATAGACAACCTGTATGTGTTCAATTTTAATTGTACTAAAACGTGTTTCCCGCTTCCTAGCATGCCCCAGCCATCAAGGACTTCCAAAATACTCGTCACACCGGGTGAGCAGACAATTATTAAGAGAGAAAGTAGATTTAGAATGCATATGCTGTACATCCAGGTTGGATCTCTTCCAATCACGCAAAGGATGAAACATATGACTAACTGAAGTTTTAGAGGGATTGAGAAGAGAATGTTGCATATACTGTGTACCAGGTCGGATTTTGAGTCACGTAGAGGAGACAATATATGGCTAACATATAGAAAGAATTACATAGATAGAAGATGCAAATATATAAAGTTGCATATGTTACAGTCCAGGTCGGATCTCTCGATCACGCAAAGGAGGAAAAATATGACTAATATACATAAAGAAAGAAAATAACCTTCTACAGACCTAGTTTATTAGAATTCCACATTCACCCTTTCCAACCAGAATTAAGGACAAAATCCGCACATCGAGAAAAAGTGAATCCACAGTTCTAGATACAGGTTATTTAATGTGACCGATAGATTCCCATGCATATCTCCCTGCTCAACCTATCCGAGCGTCATGAGGTCATGCTAAACGGATCTAACTAGGTCAAGGTTTGTCAAGTCCTTAAATTCATTAGGTTCAACTTTTCCTAGTCAAGTCCATTTAAATTTTTCTATGCCTACCAGCGCATCGAACACAAAGCGTAGACAATTCAACTTAGCTACGTTACGCTGATTCAGATTGCCCGTTATCACTTGCTAATTTCATTTCCCATCACAACACCTGCAAACGAGACTAACAACAACCTTTTTTTTTTTAATTTTCTGAATTTTTAATGTTTTTGGATTTTTTATTTATTTTTATTGTTTTTAGATTTTTTATTATTTCTCCCCCTAAATTTGAGCATGGATGAGAATTAAATAAAAAAAATAACATGCACAAATTTAATCTACTCTAAAAAGAATAAAAATAAAAATTAAAAAATGAAGACTGATGAAAAAGAAAAAAAAATAAAAAACTTAATCCTCAAAACGAATCATTTTCAGAAAACCCACAAGCACATCGAAGCGAGCTTTGTTAAATGGCTTTGTGAACAAATCCGCCACATTCTTAGCAGTAGGGACATGTTCAAGTCGGATTACTGAACGTTCATAACAGTCTCTGATAAAGTGAATTTTAATGTCAATATGCTTGGTTTTAGAGTGTTGAACTGGATTTTTGGCAATTTGAATAACGACCTCATTATCACAATAAATAAGGGTTTCTAAATAATTCAAACCGTAATCCAACAGCTGATGTTGGATCCAGATAACTTGAGAACAACAGGCCGATGCAGCAACATATTCCGCCTCCGTTGTGGAAGTTATGACAGTGTGTTGCTTCTTGCATTGCCACGAAAGTAGTCTGTCAACTAGGTATTGACATCCTCCAAAGGTTGATTTCCTGTCAAGCTTACAACCTCCATAATTACTGTCAGCAAAAGTGTGACAACCCGATATTTTGAGATGATAAAATGTAACGCCAGTCAAATTTAAGCCAAAACTTAACAGTCAAATTTAAGCCAAAACTTAACTTTCCTAAAATCATATTTGGGTTAAATAAAGTGGTAGGACTCGTATCAAGGTTTTCGTACATATAAAGAACACTAAAATCCGAGTTATAACGAGGAAGTTATGATTTTCCGAAGTTTCTAACCTAGCAGTAAACAACTAAAAACTCGAAACAGAGATCGAGCGATCTTTAGCCGACACAACCTAAACGAAAGTTGGAGAGCTCCATAATAGAAGTATAACAACATAAAGTCTGACGAAAACGGATTCCGGATAAAGAAGTTACGAATTTTTAACGAAGTTATCGTGTCCCGACCTATTAATTAAAATATATAATTAAAAATCAATTCAAAATTAGCCGACGGAGTCTAAATGAAAGTTATGGAGTATTTTATCACCTTCGCGTGGATATAAAGAACGTCAAAAACAGAGCTCGTACACGAAAGTTACGAAATTTAGAAGAGGACAGGCCGGATTACGCCCCGCGTTCTGTGGGAGTACGCCCCGCGTACTAGACCCAG